AGACGTAGGATTAATCGAGTCCACCAAATGCTTTTCTAAAATGGGGTTTAAAATCTCCCAATCTTCAAAAGAAAATGATCTCGGGGAAACCACCATTAATATTTCCAAACTCATGCCGAAATCAAAATTCCCGCAACATACAGATTAATAAATAGTCTTATACGTCGAATGAGCATGAAATCCTCCCGCAGAACCAAATAAATGCTCAAGGCCGGGGTCAATAGAATAGAGGAAACAGCAGCTAAGGCTCTCGGCCAAAGTAAACTCAAGACCAAAAGAAACCTAAGGCTAAAGGCAAACCCAAGACCAAAAGAAGCTCACGGCTAAGGCGAACCCGAATCAATTCCTTACAAGTTTTGATATACCTAGGAGAGTATAAAACATCACCAATCTCTCAAAGTAAAAAGTTTGATCCATCTATAATCATTCAAATGATTCAAACTCAACAAGAGGGGGTAAATTAAACTCAAGAAACTCTAATAGGTCTCACGGGTAGGAATAGGAACCAAAGCTAGCAAACCACCTCCAAATCACCTCTCGGGTAAGGGCAAGGCAAAGCAAATCGAGCTCTCAACTAGAGCCAACAAAAATCATAACCAAAGCCATTTTTCGGGTAGGGGCAGAAAAATACACAAGACAAGCCACCCAACAAGCTCTCGGGTAAGGGTCAAAGGCAAGCAAAGCAGCCTACCAAAACTCTAGAGTAAAGGCAAGTTTTAAGGAATCAATCATGGGCTCTCGAGTAAGAGCTAAAACAAGCAAACCAAGCTCTCAAGTCAAGCCAAGACCGAACTACAGCTAAGGTTCGAATTCGGGTTACAACAAAATAGTAGAAAATATTTCCATACACTATACGTAGACACTTATGCATCGAACATAAGCATCAAAAAGAACGAGCCGAGAAGCAAGGAAAGAAAAGAACAAAAATGGGTGCGAGAGAGGAGACACTGATCCATCTAAAACACCGAAAAGGAGAATGGATGAGTTTTCAAAACTCGTATCGAAAAGTCCTGGAAAAGTAGAGCCCAAGGTCTTTCCTAACAAACATAAATGGTCACTTTACGCTAATTTTTCAAACCCCAAAGACGTAGGATTAATCGAGTCAACCAAATGCTTTTCCAAAATGAGGTTTAAAATCTCCCAATCTTCAAAAGAAAATGATCTCGGGGAAATCACCATTAATATTTCCAAACTCATGCCGAAATCAAAATTCCCACAGCTTTCAGATTAATAAAGAGCCTTATACGTCGAATGAGCATGAAATCCTCCCGCAGAACCAAATAAATGCTCAAGGCCGGGGTCAATAGAATAGAGGAAACAGCAGCTAAGGCTCTCGGCCAAAGTAAACTCAAGACCAAAAGAAACCTAAGGCTAAAGGCAAACCCAAGACCAAAAGAAGCTCACGGCTAAGGCGAACCCGAATCAATTCCTTACAAGTTTTGATATACCTAGGAGAGTATAAAACATCACCAATCTCTCAAAGTAAAAAGTTTGATCCATCTATAATCATTCAAATGATTCAAACTCAACAAGAGGGGGTAAATTAAACTCAAGAAACTCTAATAGGTCTCACGGGTAGGAATAGGAACCAAAGCTAGCAAACCACCTCCAAATCACCTCTCGGGTAAGGGCAAGGCAAAGCAAATCGAGCTCTCAACTAGAGCCAACAAAAATCATAACCAAAGCCATTTTCGGGTAGGGGCAGAAAAATACACAAGACAAGCCACCCAACAAGCTCTCGGGTAAGGGTCAAAGGCAAGCAAAGCAGCCTACCAAAACTCTAGAGTAAAGGCAAGTTTTAAGGAATCAATCATGGGCTCTCGAGTAAGAGCTAAAACAAGCAAACCAAGCTCTCAAGTCAAGCCAAGACCGAACTACAGCTAAGGTTCGAATTCGGGTTACAACAAAATAGTAGAAAATATTTCCATACACCTGAGACATCAAAATATAGAACCAACGCATGCCTTACACAAGAACAGCTACAGAGTTCTTCCGAATCAACATAAATTCATCCACCACACGTATATTTGAACCAAGCACCGGTGGGATGCCAAAACCGAGCCCAGCAGGGGCCAAAACCAAACCAGTAGTATTAAAATCCAGGCCTCCATAAAGGATAAAGCTCTAGTCATTTCAATCCAAAACCGAGACTCCAAACCCAGCCAAAACCGAGCCCAACAAGAACCAAAAGCCAAAACAGAGCTCAACAAGGCTAAAATAGGACCCAAGCATTGATATAAATTCAGGCTTTAACATAAATTAAAGTTCCAGCCACCTGAAGGTAAAACCGAGTCATCCAAAGTCAAGGAACAACCTACATGTCTAAATATTCCAAGCACACAACGAGTCCAACAGATTTTTGAGCAAATATTTGAGCAGGGAAGATGCCTCACGAAGAGCTAAACCAAGCCCTCAAAACAAGATACAAAGTTTTCCAGATTAAATAAATTTCCTCCAAACATGCATTTCAAGTAAGGAAAAGCCATGAGATACCAAAACCGCAACCCCTAACATGCATGAAAGGCCAAATAACCTTTCCAATATCTCATACTAAATGAAAATAGATGAAAAAACTTCATAATACATATCCTAACATGCTTGCAAGAGGAGCTAAAATTATTTCAAGACCATGTTTCAAGCTTCCTGTTCACAATAATAGAACTATGCCACTGTTTCATCTCAAGAAGGTAGAGAAAAGAAGAACACTTATGTCATGCTATATTT